TAGGGATGACTTTACAACCAATATTGTAATCCTCCCAAAGGAGTTCCTCCACAATATCTACCACTAACACACACCCAAAATAAAAATTCTGAAGGGACTGCCTTGATATTATTACTTTTGACAAGCAATATATGTAATATAATAATATATAATATATAATAAGTGCTAAGACTAAGCTTAAAAATAATAAGTATATAAGAGCCTATCTTGTTATGACACATCTAATTAATAAACTTTTACAACGTTTCCCAAAACAAAACAAAACAAATTAGAACAAGGATTAACATTTCTCTAGTAGCTAAAATCCAGAAGCATAAACTGAAGATAAAAAGTCTTTCCTTTTAAACTACTTATCTAATTCATTTTAATTTAAAAATAATTGAACTTTGGTTCTTTTTATCCTGCTACCCTGACTGGGGTGGGGATGGTCCTTAAAAAGCAGAAATTCAGGTTATTTCTTTCCATTGTTGGTTTGTTTTTCTTTTAGATTCTTATCAAAATGAATCCTCATTTAAACATCAGGATGTAAAGACAATCCATTCTGTGAATGTTTTGTTTCTGAATATGAAGAAAAGAAAAGAAAAAGAAACTAAGTGTTTCCATAGTAACCCTGAGTGTGACTAAATTGTATAACTTCCTAATACCGACACATGAGGAAGAACAGACAACAACTGAAAGGGGAAGCTGAAAGCAGGATGGGCTTAGAACAGTCAGCCTTGTCCATTACAAACTCCCCATAGCACCGATAGTATTCCCAAGAGGACCAAGATTGTCACCCTGTTTCAGCAGCCCCAACCTACTCTCCTCTCCCAGGTTCCTAGACTAAAGGAAAAAACTGTCACAAGATTATCTCAACATAGAAAGTTTAAAGGGTGTGACCATATCTTATATAACATTCATACCTAAATAAGGAGTTCCTTCACTTATTTCTTCTATAATATCTAACCTCTTTAGTCAGCCCCTTACAACTCACATGCCCTTTAATTCACTAACTGTAACAACTTCTAAAAGTTTTTGAAATATATATCTGGTTTTTAAAATTGGAAAAAGGAAAGACACTATATTTAAAATCTGCATTTACTGTAGGGAACAGGGGGTATAATCACAATTTGTGATAATGGGCATGCTGCCAGTATGGATCTGGCCATCACATCTTAGGCACCAGTCAACACTTGTTCACAATTTGTTCTGTACCCCATGCATAGTCATAACCAATAAAAATAAATAAATAAAATAAAATACAAAAAAGATAAAAAATAAAAAGATTAAAATCTGCATTTGTTAAAATATTTTGCTCTGTGTTTCCCACCCCTAACTATTCAGGAGGAACTCTTCATTCTCCCATATGTCTGCCATCCTTAATCACTTTCCTCAAAAGGCTGCTGTGGTTGTTAGCAGCAAAAGGTAACTTGCTCAGGTAAACTGAGCACATGTATGTCATTAGCTGATGCAAATAAACATGTAAATAGATAATGCTTTAAAACACTGACTAATCAATGATGGCAAGAATGATGAACATAAAATTATTTTATTTGTTTAGTCAAAATTTAGTCAGTCATTCACACACACACAGACACACCTCTACTTGTTTACTTAGTATGTGCCAGTATAAGTTCATTACACAAGTATCTCATTACAAGCCCTAAATGGTAAGAACTGTTATTCCCTTTATCAGATTTTTAAAAGCTTAGAATTTAGAAATTTGGACAGCCACATAGCCAGTAAATGTACTCAAACTCTTTACCCACACATTATGTAGCTTCTCCAAACATTCAAAGCCTTTCTGAAGGGAAAAGAGGTTAAGGTTCTTATTCTAATTAATTCTAGTTAATACTAAGGTAATCTAAGGTAATTAAATTAAAGCTCCTCCTCCCTCCTGGAAATACACTTGTTTTAAGTATAAAATGTATGCCATATATGGATATGTTGTGTATGGATGTGTATGTGAATTATCTTCTCCATAGAGCTACAATACTCAGTACTCATGTATCAAATGCTTTCTAATGGCAATACAACAATCAGTAGCCGAGTCATGTGCTATCATATCACAATTCTCCCTCCATCTTCTAAATTCTCCCATTAAAGAGGTCTGATCTGTTCGTGAATCTGTTCGTGGTTTGAATAATCAAAGTGAGAGCCTTGCTGTAGATATACTATACTATTAGACCATGGAGATAGCATTATTAGAAAACCAGGAATATAGCAAAGAGTAATAACCAAGCTAATATTTGACATTTATGATCACTAGCAATACGTTAGAAATCAACATTTTTCAAACCCTATTTAAGAGAGAATTCATAACCTACCACTTGAGCTTCCTCTCTGCCCTCTCTTGGAACAGAAGCTCTTTGAACTCAAGAACTGTATTTCACAAGTTTTAAAGAGGCTTGCTAATTAGTACTATGGTTTCTGATTGAATTACTGGGAAGATTGTAGCTTCAAAGTAAAAACCTAGAAGTCATTCTTTATTTCTCCCTTTTCCTCATGCCCTATATGTAATTTATCAGCAATCCTGTCACTCAATCTCCAAAACACAACCCCAAACACATCTATCCATGTCTCTCCACTTCCACTGCAAAACCACCCTCACTTCCTGCCAACATCAACCACGAAAGCATCTTGATGGTCAGGCCTGCCTGCTTCTGTTCTTACCCTCTACAATCCATTCACCACCCAACAGCCACTGTCAGATCATGTAACTTTCAACAAGAAAACTCTTTAATTGCTTGTCAATATATTAATAATAAAATCCAAACTCTTTACTTTGCTCTGTAACATAAGACCCCTTCCTGCTCCAACGTCCCATCCTGTAACACTCCCTCATCGTAGTCTTAGGGCCTTAGTACTGTCTTCAACCTCTGCCTGGAAAGCTCCTCCCACCAGATCTTTGAATACTCAGATACTTCTTTCACTGAAGTTGAGGTTTAAATGTCCCCTCCTCAGAAAGCATTATCCCTCCCCCACCATTCTGTCTCACCATTCTCATGTCACCTCATATCATACCACTAAAATTACTTGCTATTTTCTTTCTTGTCTGTTCACTTATTTATCCTCTGTCTCATCAGAGTGAGCCCTACCAAGAGAGAATTGAACTTGTCTTTGCTGAAACACAGACCTGACATACAGAAGGTCCTTAGTAAATGCCTGCTGGATTTAGAACTTTAACTTACCAAAAAACTAGTGAAATCCAAATAAAGTCTGGAGGTTAGTTCAGAATAATGTACTAATGTTGGTTTTTTAGTTTTGTCAAATGTACCATGGTAATATGTTTGGGAAAGTGAATGAGGGGTATATAAGAACTCTCCATGCTATCCTTGCAACTTTTCTGTAAATATAAAATTCTTTCAAAATGATTAAAAAGTTAATAAGTAAATAAAAAATTTATTTTAAAAACATCAGCATCTCCATATAGGAAGAAATGTGCTTCACTTTTACCATAGTTTGGCATTTTATTCTGAGTAAAGCAGAGTAATAGGCAACTGACCTATTTGCTTTGAATCTATGCAACCACTTAAATATAAATACATATAAAAGCACAATTAAAAGTACAACCACTTACATAAAAAAGCACAATAGTACCTAATACTTGTCTCCTCACATTTGCAACCATACCAGTAATTTTAAATCAGCAAGACAGATGTACTTATCTCCTCTAATATCAAATTAATTCTACATGCAGGTCTGAAGGAAAAGTGTTATCTTTCCCATCTTCTTCCCCCAGGGGTTCCGCCCTATACATTTAGAATCTCCACTTGGTCGGGAGAAATCTCCTAAATCCTATCAGCGGAAACTCTGCCCATTGCTTCTTCTCTAGGAGGAAAAGAAACTAATGCTCCTACATGATACCACATAATCAGAGATCAGCTTTTACCTGATAATTCAAATGTGGCCAGTATGTCAAAAAGACTCTCTAGGGCCGGCCCGGTGGCGCACTGCGCTAGTGCGCCGCTTGGGAAGCGCGGAGGTGCTCCCGCCGAGGGTTCGGATCCCACATACAGACCGGTTCCCGCTCACTGGCTGAGCGAGGCGCGGGGGCAACACCGAGGGTTGCGATCCCGTTGCCGGTCCTGGTCCGGTACGGGGGCAACACTGAGGGTTGTGATCCGTTGCCGGACACGGAAAAAAGACTCTCTAGATACTATTTTCTAATTTTCTGTTAAGTGTCTCACAAAGTTATTCCTTTACTCATGGACTTGACAAATAATTACATCACACAGAAGTCTAAATCACACTGAATTTGGATAACAAACTGGATTATAAATTCAAAAATATGAAAGCAAATTTGGTTGTAATGCTCTTACACCCTAGAGAGGTTTCATCATTTCAGAAACACATCCAAAACCAAGGCACGACGTATTGCAATCCACCTCTTCATTTCACATGTAATTCTATAAATGAGATGTAAAAACCTCACACATAGTACTTGAAATATTAGCATTTATTTATCTTACTTTATCATGTTATTCTGGTTTCTATCACACACACACACACACAAAGGTATATTATTTCACAGGACACAGTGATCTTGTTTAATCAGGAGAATATAAAATGGTCACCATAAGATGGAAAAAATTAAACCACTCAAAAGGCAGAATAAAAGTAAAATGGAGATGGCACAAGATTAGACTGTTCATATGAAAAAATAGTCAGAGGAAGGGGAAATTCATAACAATTCTCTGGGCATTTTGTGGTTTTGTAGTTGTCTTACTCTGGGCCAGTCCCTTAAATATTCTCAATCTTACGTTTTTTACCTATAACATTAAGATAGTAATGCCAGTCTACCCACTGAATTTTTCTTTAAGTATAAACAAAACCTGGCAAATAAAAAACAATTTTTTAAAAGCTACTTTTCAGCCAAAATTAACTTTTAAAAAACTAAAAATTGCTGACAACTGGCAGCAACTGGGGGGGAAAAAGTGTGTGTATAACTGTATTTTGGAGCACGGTAAAGCAGAAAGCAACTTTCAGATGGCTAGATTCCTGAGTAAGTGCTTGCTTACCTTGGAGACTTGTCGCAGCCACCGTAAGTACTCTGTGAAAGTATCAAAGCAAATGTAGTAAGTCTGGCTTTGAGGTCCAGAGGAGCTAAATGCTAAACAGTGCTGGTGCTTTTTCACTTCTTCTACCTATAAAAGCAAGCAAAGAGAGAGGCAAAAACAAGTAAGACACAGAACCACTGACATAGTTCACTAACTATACCTTGGATCAGTGAGCCTGCACAGATTTGCATTTTTCCCTATATATGTTCCTCTTATTAGCTAAAACAACATCCCTGCATCTGACTAACCAATTTGAACTACAAGGAAACCAAAAAAGGGGAGTTTTATCTTCATGAGATTTCCCCACCACAGTGAAATTCTCTTCTTCCTGTTTAAAAATGGTCTAGACTCTCTTATTCTATGCCTTTACAATAGGGTGCTGGGGTTCTTACTTCCTCTTAGGATTTTTACTTAAGCCTTTACTTAAGGGACTTTTGTATTACTCTGAATAACAAGGTTTTTTTGGGAGGGCAGCTGACTGGTAAGGGATCCAAACCCCCGACCTTGGTGCTATAACACCACGCTCTAACCAACTGACCTAAGCAGCCAGTCCCTACAAGTTTTACAAAAACAAGGTCTTCAAGTATGTTAAATAAGTTTTTAAAAATTTAATGTGAAACAGATTAGCTTGAAATAAAACCCTACCATGGGAATTTTTAAGTCCGAATAATGCAGTCATATAGTCAAATCAAATTTCCACTCTTAAAAGGAGGAAAAATCCAAAGTAATGTGATATTATACAAAGTCCTATATTTATTTCATTTACAAAAATAACCACAAGCCAAGTCACAAAGAAAGTATAAAAAGTTTTCAAAAAGGTCAGTAACATAGTCAGTAACACAGACTATGTTCTTGGACCAAAATGCAATTAAATTAAAAGTCAATAATAAGGGGCTGGCCCGGTGGCGCACTGCGCTAGTGCGCCGCTTGGGAAGCGTGGAGGCGCTCCCGCCGAGGGTTCGGATCCCACATACAGACCGGTTCCCGCTCACTGGCTGAGCGAGGCGCAGGGGCAACACCGAGGGTTGTGATCCCGTTGCCGGTCCCGGTCCGGTACGGGGGCGACACTGAGGGTTGCGATCCGTTGCCGGACACGGAAAAAGACCAAAAAAAAAAAGAGTCAATAATAAAAAATCAATTTCAAATCCATGTATGTTTAGGAAATTAATAACACATTTCTAGATTACATGCTTTTAAACTACACACTTCTAAACTCATAGGTGAAAAGAGAAATAATTAAAATTTTAAAATTCATAGTACTAAACAATTATAAAAATACTATATATAAAAATCTGTGGAATGAAATAAAAGTAGAAATCTAGAGGCAAATTTGTGTTTTTAAATACTTATATTGAAAAAGAAGGCAAAAAATTAATTTGATCAGCATATATCTTAAGAACTTGGGGGAAAAAAATCAAAAACAAAAAAACCAAATAAACTCAAAGTAGGATGAAGGCAATGATAAAAAAGCAGAAATTAGTGAAATAAAAACCAACATAAAACAGAGAATATCCGCAAAGAAAAACACTAGTTCTTTGAAAAGTCTATTAATAAAATTGATAAATCCTCTGGCAAATCCTATCAAGAAAAGAGAAGATGCTTATGAATAATGTTAGCAACGAAAAGGTGGACATGGCTATACATTCACCAGAGATTAAAAAGAATATTACAATTTTGTTGCACATTCTTAGGAAAAATATATTTTACCAACATTAAATCAAGAAAAAAAACAGAAAGCCCAAATTGTCTTATAACCATTTAAGACATAGAATTTATATATCTTTTTAATTTCTCAAGAAAATATTAGGCCCATATGGTTTTACAGGTAACTTTTACTGAAGTTTCATGAAACGGATCATTCCAAACTCATCTGCCAAACAAACAAAAATGAATTAAAACACACCAACCTATTCTGTGAGGCCAGTATAACTAAAATCAGATCAGAACAGTAAAAGAAATGAAAATTACAGGCAACCTCAGTCATGAAGACTTATCTTTAACAAAATGTTGCATCAAAATCCAATAATATAGAAAAAATACATCAAGAACAAGTTAGATTTGCCTCAGGTAAGGAAAGATGGTTTAACATTATTAGAACTATAGAACCATTAATCACATTAACAGATTAGAGAAGAAAACCATATGATCATCCCCACAGTTGCAGAAAAAGCAGTTAACATTCACCACCCATTCGATATTCAAGATAAAAACTTTCAGTAAGCTAAGAACTCAAATAATTCACTTAAGCTGACCAAGGATATTTAGCAAACATCTAAGGCAAACTTCAGTGGTAATCATGAGATATTACTCTCAAGATAAGACAAGTATCTACCATTTCTATTTAACATTGTACTAGAGTCCTGGCCATTACAACAAGACAAAGAAAAGAAAAGGAAGAAAGAAAATTACCATTATCTGAATAAGATATGATTAGCTACATAGTAAACTCAAAAGAATCTATGGGCATCATATTGGAATAAACCAGAAAATTTAGCAAGATGGCATGATATAAGATCAATACTCAAAAATCAACAGTATTTCTATTTAAAATAATCTATATTAACAAAAATCAGGTAAATGGTTTCTCGGGGATGAAAAGGAACAGGAAGGGGTGGGAGGAAAGGAATACAAAGGAACACAAGGAAACTTTTGGGGGTGATGGATATGTTCTCTATCCTGACTGTGATGATGATTTAATGGGTGTATATGGCTATAAAACTGTATTCATGGGAGCATATGGTTACTGAATTGTTATTAAAATGTGCAGTTTATTGTTGCCAATTATACTTCAATAAAGCGTTGTTGAAGACGTACAGAAACAAAAACACTTGTATACTCACACAAGTATAAAATGGTACGACCTTGGAAAACAATTTGATATCACTTTGTATATGCTCCAGAGCCCAATAACTGCACTCTTACCTAAGTATGTACCCAAGAGAGGTATTGCTTAAGGAGGTCATTATAGGAATTCCAGATTGAATAGTTACTCATTGTGCACTGTGAAGGACTGTCTAACACTGTACATGATATTTCATTCTCTAAGCCCCTGCCCTTTAAATACCAAGAGTGTCCTCTTGCAGCAAAGATGTTGGTACACACCAAGCACTCCATCTACTTCTCCACATTTCCCAAACCCCTTGCAATTAAGGTGGAGTCATGTGACTAGTTCTGGCCTATGAGCTGTGGGCAGAAGTGGCATGTGTCACTACTGCATCTGAAAATACAAGAGCCAGTGAATGACCTCTTTCCCTGCCAAAGCAACAAAGGAAGGCTGCAGGTCCCGAATGTTAAATTACAAAAGAGCAGAGCCTCCATCAGGCTGGGTCTCTGCACAACTGTGTGAAAAAAGAAATGCCCACACCCTGAAGCCCACCAATTCATACTGGACACACAATGTGAGTGAGAAATAACTGTTTGGTAAGTCACTGAGATTTGGGGGGGGATCTGTTACCATGGCATAACTTAAGCCTCTATTAACTGATATACTGACTGTTCAATCATTTGACCCTCAAAACACTACTAAATATTGCCAAATGTCCCTCAGTCACAGTAACTCTAGTTTCAAACTACTGCCCTAGAAAGAATACTTGCATATCAGGAGGTATATCAACATAAGACTATGTCAGCAGCATTGTTTATAACAACAAAAAACTGGAAGCAATACAAATGTCCTTGGTAGGAAAATTGCTTAAGAAATTATGGAATGTTTACAGAGTAGAACATTACATAGAAATGAAAACCACATAAGCAACATGGAATATTATTATGAAACATAATATCAAGTGAAAAACTTCAACCACAGAAGACCACATGCAGTACAATACTATTTTTTTTTCCTTTTTGTCTTTTTTACTGACCGGTAACAGGATCGCAACCCTTGGTGTTGCGCCCACACCACGCTCAGCCAGTGAGCGGGAACCGGTCTCCACATGGGATCCGAACCCTCGGTGGGCGGCGCTCCCAAGCGGCGCAATCTCCAGTGTGCCACCGGGCCGGCCCACAATACCATTTTTATACAGATAAAAACAAGCAAAATATCAACAAGCATGATAAAACTTATTTCAAAAAAGGATGAAATGAATACACATTCTAGGACAGTAGATACCTCAGGAGTTAGGGGAGGCAATGGAGCAAGCAGATGTGAAGAGAATACAGGTAAAAGAAACACTGGTATTGGACACACTGCTAGAGTTCCTAAACAGAGCAGTAGGTTAACAGTTATCCAAAGTGGTATGCTTCATAATTTAACAAATACTGAGTAAAGTATTAATCAAAATACATTATTATCTAAAAAATGTATGTCAAATTCTAAAGGATATAAATAAAACTGTACAATAAGTAAAAATGTATCCATTAAACAGATATTTTCCAATAAATTTTAAGAGATTTATTTAACAAAGCCATTTATTATTTGAAAATGCACTAGAAATATATCAATTTGATACTGTAGCAATTATAGCTAGGTTATGACAGATCTATCTCACACCTTATTTCTAGCTCTTTTATATATACATATTCATTTAAAAAAAAAAAAAACCTTCCATTTACTCTCAGTTTTTCCTTAAAAAAGGAACAGAATAAAAAAAGGAATACACAGGGGCTGGCCCAGTGGCGCACTGCTGCAGTGCTCCGCTTGGGAGCGCAGCGCCGCTCCCACCGAGGGTTCGGATCCCACAAACAGACCAGCGGCTCACTGGCTGAGCGAGGTGCGGACGCAACACCGAGGGTTGCGATCCCGTTGCCGGTCCCAGCCGGTACGGGCGCGACACTGAGGGTTGCAATCCGTTGCCAGACACGAAAAAAGACAAAAAGGAAGAAAAAAAAAAAAGGAATACACAAACATTAATGAAAGCTCATATCACAAAAAGTGAATTATTTTTCCATAAGTTGGTCAACAGGTTTTTAAAGACTCAATTTTTCGATGTACTCAATTATTTCTAAAGGCATAACACAAAACCGGTTTTGCAAGGTTTGCTTGTGAAAAGAGGAAGCTATTAACTTTCAATTCACTCAATGGTAAAAGTCCATCCAATAACCTGGAAAACAGGGCAAGTCTCCAGTTCTGAATGAAAATGCTAATTATAACTGGATCTTCTGACCTTATCTAAACATTCCATGTGATTACCTGCCTCTGCCTCTCTCAGCATAATAATCTTTCTATCTACTTCACATATCAAAAGATTTTTCACCCTTCAAGTTCTATCATCACTGCTACCTCTTTCATTCCAAAATTCTCTGTTCCCCATACAAAATGTAATCTTTCCTTCTACTAATTTCCCAAGGTACTTTTCTGTACCTCTCTTAGAGCAGATGTTGTTGTGTCCATCCTTCATCTCCTGATACTAAATTACAAACTATTCAAAGGCATGAATGGTGACTTACCATCTTGGTATTTCTGGGGCAAAGGATATTGAATAAATAGTTATATTAGATTTGCCTATGCAAACACCCAGCATCATACAGAAGAAATAGATTGTTGACCTAACAAAGCATCAAACATCAAATATGCTTTTTATTGATGACCTGTGGGGGTACTACTGATGACTAATTTTTGAATAAGCCATCCAAAGGACAAAATATTAAGTAATAAGTATCAATCACTAACTCTTTAATGCTTAGACAAAAGTTAAGGAGCAATGGTTTCAAAATAGATGAATGAAATACATCTAAATGTACTCGAAGCCTGACTAAAAGCTATTTTTGAAAACAATCAAGTATTATTAGCCTTCTTAGAACTAGACTGTATAAAAGTAGAAGGGAAAAAACTGAGACAGGCTATTTACTCACAAGGAAAGACTATAAAGAAGGAGTGTGCTACGCAGCAGGTGAACAATAAAACCATTTATCACTACACACATCCAGTCTTATCATCTTCATTTATAACCCCTGGAACAGATCAGACATTTGTCGATTTAAAAAGGTTTAACAAAAAACTGATTTCTTATTGTTCTTTATATTGTCCATCTCCTGCCTCCTTTCCCATGCCCATTCAGGAGGGAAAAATGGCAAAGAAAATATTTGTTTAATATGCTCCCAATTTCCATCACCCATCTTCTCATCCAAATCTTCCTTTCCATTTATTAACAGATTATATCATCTAAAAAATCAAGATATATAATTATGGAGATGCTACCCCAATCAACACTTGGATTTTATAATTAAATCTGGCAAAGAAAAGAACGTAACATATTCCCAAACAATCTGGTTCTTTTTGTTTTAAAATGTTAGGAATAAAATAGTTAACATGCCCAAAGAAAAGCAGCCAGTAATGTCAGAAATACCTGTCAGCTGTTATTACATGTTTTCTCTGAAATGAGTAATACTTTTCAGGATCAAAATGTATGACTAGCCATAGCAATACGCTAAAAATGCTAACACTGGTCACCAAACACAAACAAATGGAGAGGTAAATAAACAGAGATACAAGGGAAAGTGTGATCAAAGACTTCAGTGCTAGAGAGTTCTAAACTCTCAGTAAGCATGTGTGAATGTTCCTAAGGTCATGAACTTAAGGATCAGTATACTCCACAACAAGACACATGCTCAGGACATCAAGATGTTTATCAAGCTGTCTACTAATAAATAATAAATTTATCATCTACACTCTAAAACATAACAGTGAAATTCAAGTAGGCGTACTTTCAGTCCAGTAAGTAAAATGCATGTACTAATGAAGCAAAAATCACAAGGGACTCATGTGAGCCAATGGCACTGTTATTTTCCACAACTCCACCAACCAACAATGCCTATTGGTGGAGCACAACAGGAACTGAATAAAACCTTGGATGAGTCAAAAACCATCTATCCCTTATTGATGAAACAGCTCAAAGTCAAGTCCTTACTGATGATGGGAAACCTGTTAGTATTTTGTTTTTTCTAAACTTACTTTTCCACCAATTAGTGGCAGAACATGCATCTTTCCAGTCAAGCTGTCTTTCACAGATGACACTATCAGGCAGGTCCCACACAAGATGACTTGGCGTCTCGTCCATCGGTTCACTGGCAACTGCATTTTGCCTTTACGGACATTATACATTCCTGAGAGTTGAATCCGTTCAGAGCTAATGGTGCTGTGAGGTTTTCCTAAAACAAACACAAGCAAACATGTTATTCTTAAAGAAATGAGCTTTTTTCCCTATTCATCCACATACCAGATAAAGTAACTGGACAAGAGAATAATTATAGAGAAACAACTTAATTTATAATTGAGAGAGTATGACAGCTGTAGGAACAGAATTACAGTAAGAACTACCACATCTACTCCACACATACATTTTAATATTAAGTGAAGAAGAGCCTATTCCTTAAAATCCTAGGAAATGACTATTTTTACTCCTCTGTTTTAACCCAGGTCTTACTTTCTTCTATATCTTTCACAATTTAATTTTACACTTAAAAGGGGATGACTTCATGATTTTTATGGATGACTAGAGTTAATTTAAATACACTAAGAAGGAAATACAACAGAATGAGATAGGAAAATAACATTCAATATCTAACATTTAATGAGCTAATTGGTCTTAATGGAATTAACTGATAGTTTTCCTTCTACAGATATTCAATGTATATTTACTATGAAGGAAACATAAAAAATGAAAGATTTTTCTAACAGGAAAATACTACTCCACGACCACAGGATAAGTTCTCAAAGATAAACCTAACAGCAATTCATGAAGGATGGGTACAGCAATGCTTGTGATTCATGGAGAGGAGGCACAGAGACAGAGAGACAAGCACAGAGACTCAGAGAAATGTGAGAAAGACCTGAAGAGTCTTCATTTCCCAGATAGAAATGAATTTGGCAGAATTAACGTTCAGGCAAGTCCTATCAATTTAATGGGAAAACTACTGTAATTTACATGACAGAGTTGTATAAAAAACAAGAAAACTATTTTCCCAGTTCTAGATATTGACTATATAATATCAAAGAGTAATGAAGCCCATGCTCAAAAATAAATAAGGGCTATATGTCCCATAGTAGAATCCCAGTCAGAGTGATGTATTTATTTGGAAGTTCGACTAGTTGCCAAGGGCTAGCAGAAGAAGTAAGTTCAAGAGAAATTATATTCAAAAATTAACATAAATGGGGCCGGCCCGGTGGCGCACTGCTACAGTGCGCCTCTTGGGAGTGCAGCGGCGCTCCCGCCGAGGGTTCGGATCCCACATACAGACCGGTTCCCGCTCACTGGCTGAGCGAGGTGCGGGTGCGGCACTGAGGGTTGCGATCCCGTTGCCGGTCCCGGTCTGGTACAGGCGCAACACTGAGGGTTGCGGTCCGTTGCTGGACACGAAAAAAAAAAAAATTAACATAAATGTCAACTAGGTTTGACAGGTTTCTAATACCCATTAGACGGGGAACAGGAAGAGCAACAGCATCAAAAACAGATCTCAAGCCGGTTCCCGCTCACTGGCTGAGCGAGGGGCGGGCGCAGCACCGAGGGTTGCAATCCCGTTGCCGGTCCTGGTCCGGTACGGGCGCGACACTGAGGGTTGCGGTCCGTTGCCGGACACGAAAAAAGAGACAAAAAGGGAAAAAAAAAAAAAAAACAGATCTCAAGAATATCCAAACAGTGTCTAAATCCTCCCAATACTTACTTTTGGGCAGAGATGTTAGGAAGTAACAAAACCAGCAGGTTTGAATTTCAATTTCTATTTCTCCCAGTATATTAACATGTTTTATAAATACTTCGCGCTACCATAATTTTGCTGGGGCTAGGCCAGAATGAAGTACAACAGTGATTCGGCTATTTGAACCAGGTGCTCAGCAAACAAGTACACTGACAGCTCACAGTAGAAAGGTACTGCGTTGTTTGTCTACCACAAGTTAGTTTTCCCACAAATGAGTAAGAAGCCCAGGAGACTACTCAAAACATACGTGACTTGCCACGGGTTGCCAGTGACGGATCAGACACAGTCATTCATATGTCCCACTCTGCACAAGTTCATTTACACACAGAGAGGAAGATGCCTACATTTCCAGTCTAAGAGCTCCATTGTATATGACAGACTCTCTACTGTAGAGAAGTAGGAGAGAAGAAAAGACTCAGAGGAAAAATGAAGAATAAGTGGACTAGAAACAATGAACAACAAGCAACAGGTTTCCAAAATGCAATCTCCTTAACTGTAATAAACTAACATTCCCTAACAAGAGATCTGATATAAACACACACACACACACACACACACACACACACACAAATGCAAAGCAGACATTTTATCCAGCAACATCAGAAAGTGGCTTCAAGGACAGCTGTTAACCTGTCACATTTACTCAGATATGTGAATAACTAGAGACTGGAAAAAAGGAGAACAGAGGTATGTAAGGGACAACTTTCAATTCTCCAACTCCATATACATCCTACAGAAAGCTCCAAAGCAAATCACCAGATAACTGAACTAAGGCCAAAAGGGATCCTTAAGAGAAGAATATGAATACATCAACAGAGACTGGATTTTTATTCCCTAGTCAGAAAAATTCCCAAGAGTTCTAAATAGGCATAGAGCTACATGGTAAGATCAGCCTGTCCTCGGAATGCCCTAAATAGTCTGAATCAAATCCCTCTCGTCTTGCTCTGAGTGAACTTCAATATCTTTGTTGTCTGTTCCCTCCTTGGGTGTTCCACATCAGACACACTCTCATGACTTGGCTGTGTACCAACTGGGCTCTGGGGAATATGGAGATGAACAAGGTAATACATACCTTGGGCAATCACCCAGGTGCACCCTCCATTGTGTCAGACTTCTTTATTCTATGACACAAGGAATTATTTTAGCTCTCCCTGCCGATTCTCAAAATTCTCAATTCAGAGGAATTCCAATTGTCCTATGCTCTAATAAATACTATCACCAAAGTAACCAATGTCTACCAGTTTCGAGCTGGGTCAATTGTTATACCTTTTACTTTAGAAATGTAACTCTAATTCCCTACAGGTTTAAGGCATTTTTATATGATCCAGGAGAAAATATAAACAGCAAAAGCAAACGTTTCATCTGAGACAGATATGACTACAACAGAGAGTGATTTTAAAACATACTTATAAACTTTCTCTTTTTTACTTATTCATTTGGCAAATGGTAGACAAGGTGATCTACACTAGCCTATTTAAAAAACAGACACTAGCCCACGAGGTGGTTAAGGCCAACTTGCAGAAAATTATAGCACGATGCTAAGGGATCACACTAGGGCCTCTGGGTCTTAACTACTTACTCAAAACTCTGTCCCACACCAAATTAACAATCCTTACTTCAGGTAGTGTTGGGGGGTGGGGGGCAGGGGGAGTCTGAAGTGTCCACTGTAAGCCAGGCCTATGATAGCAGATACTAAGGACATCAAAAAAATGTCCTCTGCACCAAATCATTTAAAGCATTTCTCAAAATGTGGTTCAAAACCATGTTTCTCAGAATCATTTGGGTTTTTATCTACTACAACAGCCCTACAGATTTGGATCATTAGTAGCCAAGACCTGAGAGCTGCATTTCAGCAACCACCATCAAAGACTTGTATGTTTTGTGGCCATAAATCTAAAAAAATAATGATCTTCAAGTCATTCCCTGCTATGGTTCAAATGTGTCCTCCAAAAAGCATGTGCTAAAAATACAATCTCCGAATCAACAGTGTTTGGAAGTGTAGCCTAATGGGAGGTCTTTAGGTCATAAGTGCTCCACCTTCATGAATGGATTAAAGCTGATTACAAAAGGGCTTGAGGCTGCGAGTTCAATCTCCTGTTTTCTCTCCTGCTCTCTTGCCCATCTGCCTTCCGCCATGAGATGATGCAGCAAGAAGGCACTCATCAGATGCAGCCTCTTGGTCTTGGACTGCCCAGCCTCCAGAACCATAAGCCAAATAAATTTCTTTTCTTTATACATTACCCAGTCTCTGGTATTCTGTTACAACAGCACAAAACAAACTAAGACAGAACCCTAACAGAAAAATGAACAAAGATAAATAAACAGGAAGTTCACATATTAAGTATAAGTAGACAAAAACATATCCCCCAAACTGCCACTGGTAATAAAATAAAATAAAAAATTAAATTACCATTTACAACCCCTCTAATTGGCAGATTTAAAATGACTAATATCTAATATTCCCTGCTACATAAAGTTTTAGGGAAAGAAACAAACTTCTCATACCCGCTGCTGATGAGATACATTACTACAACCTTTTTAAAAGGCAATTTGGTAATACGTAACAAAAGCCTTAGTTTTTGTAATCTCTTTTCAACTTCAAAAAATGTAATCTAAGAAAAAAATTTAACAAGTTAACAAAGACGTATGCTTAAGTATACCCAGTGTAGTTTATTTATAGTGATAAAACATTAAAAACCTTACTAAACATCCCATGAAAGGAAATTGATTAAAAGTAGGATGCATTCATAATGAAATCCAAAGGAGTCATTTGAAAAGGCAGTATAGATATGCAATTACTGACCTGAAAAGATGGCTATCATAGAATATCAACAGGAAAATGTCCATTTTAGACTATAAGTATGGCATAATTCCAGCATTATAAATATATATAATTTCTATATAAATATTCATTCAAATATCAGGAAACATAAAGCACAAATTTACAGTTTAAAAATATGTCCACAAATTATTTTAAATTCTTCCCTTCAAAAGTTGGAGCCTAATTCCACTCCCCTTTTGTGTGGAGTGCACTTAGTGACTTGCTTCTAATAAACAGAATGTGACACAAGTGACAGTGGCAGCTTGTAACTTCTGAAACTAGGTTGTAAAAAGGCATACAGCTTCCTCCTTGCTCTCTTTTCTAGGGTCACTCCCTCTGGGGAAGCCAGATGCCATATCATGAGGATACCTACACAACCATTTGAAAAGGCCAACATGGTGAGCAACTGGAACTTCCTGCCAACAGCCAGCAAGGAACTGAGGCCTTCACCAACAGCCACGGGAGCAAGCCCTATTGGAAACAAATCCTCCAGCCACTGTCAAGTCCAGAGAACTCCAGTTCCTAGGACATCCTGACTGCAAATGTCATGACAGACCCTGAACCAGAACCACCCAGCTAAGTCACTCCTGAATCCCTGACTCAGAGAAACTGTAAACACAGTAAAACTTTAATA